TTTGGTTGTGACAACTTATTTGTAGATCTTACTTTGCTGAACATTATTGCTGTTTACAGTTTATCTCTATCTATAATAATATTCAAGATAATAACCAAAAACTGCAAAATTTCCTTAAAATTACCAATTCAGGGGCAGCAACCCAACAACAGGCTGTCAGATTTGTCTGAAAATTTCAGGGCAGATAGATCTTGACCTGATAATCAGTTTTACCCTATGTCAGATTTACTCTAAATGCTTTGGTTTCAGAGATATAAGCCAAAATCTACATTTTACCCCTATGTTCTATTTTTAGCCATGGCGGCCATCTTGGTTGGTTTGCGGGGTCATCGGACACATTTTTTAAACTAGATACTTGATTGATGATTGTGTTTAAGTTTGGGTGCATTTGGCCCAGTAGTTTCAGAGGAGAAGATTTTTGTAAAAGTTTATGGACAACGGACGCAAAGTGATGAGAAAAGCTCACTTGACCTTTCAGGTCAGGTGAGCTTAAAATAGATATAAACAATTTACCAAAGTTTCATAAAAGAGTTATTGTCCGAAAACTGGAAAATCCCCCTTTTTGTAATGAATAAAACCCCATAAATATATATTCTGAAATTTATAAAAATCAAAAGGGAGCTCATGTCAATAGAAATAAACAATTCACCAAAGTTTCTTGCAAATTGGTGAAATTGTTTTTAAGTAATTGTCTGAAAACTGGAAAATCTCCCCTTTTTTAATGAATAAAACCCCAAAACTTGGAAACGGTAAATCTGAAATTTATATAAAACGAAAGGGAGCTCACATCAATAGATATGAACAATTCACAAAAGATTCATGCAAATTGGTGAAATTGTTTTTGAGTTATTGTCCGTAAACTTGAAAATCCCCCCTTTTTTAATGAATAAAACCCCAAAACTTGGAAACCGTAAATCCGAAATTTATATAAAACGAAAGGGAGCTCACATCAATAGATATGAACAATTCACAAAAGTTTCATGCAAATTGGTGAAATTGTTTTAGAGTTATTGTCCGAAAACTTGAAAATCCTCCCTTTTTTAATGAATAAAACCCCAAAACTCGGAAATGGTAAATCTGAAATTTATAAAAAACGAAAGGGAGCTCACGTCAATAGATATAAACAATTCACCAAAGTTTCATGCATATTGGTTAAAGCATTTTTGAATTAATGTCCGACATGTTGACGACAGACAGACGGACGGACGGTCAGCCGTATACCATAATACGTCCCGTAAATGGGCGTATAAAAATTACTTGAACAATGACATCATTGATATTTTTAGAACTCTAGAACAGTATAAGTGACCCCACCAAAATTTAAACTTGATCTGTGTATTGTGGTAATAAGCATTGTGTATATGTTTCATAACATTTGGTTGAGGCAAACTTAAGTTAGAGAACGGAAATGAAAAATTTTGCAATTATTCCATTTATAAAGGGGCATAACTCTAGAACAGTTAAAGTGACGCCACCAAAATTCAAACTTGATCTGTGTTTTGTGGTAATAAGCATTGTGTATAAGTTTGATAACATTTGGTTGAGGCAAACTTAAGTTAGAGAACGGAAACCAATTTAGGACGTACGGATAAGGGTTAAACTTAATGCTCCCTCCGCTTTGGAGGGGGCATAAAAATTCTTTCCATCAAGATATGATCATAATCTCAATTCAAATTTCCAATGGAGTTTGCAACCATATTTACCCATTTAAATACATCATAAAAGTCTTAAAATAGAAAATGACATACATAATCATGGCTAACATTAATATTCCTTAATCAGCATTTTTAAATAGTAACTTTTAATAAAATGCTCCGCAGGGCGCAGCTTGATACGACCGCAGAGGTCGAACCCTAAACAGTTGGGGCAAGTATGGACACAACATTCAAGCTTGATACAGCTCTGAATTTGGATTGTGATTAAATATTTGACACAGCATAGGTTTCTGACACAGAATGAATGTGGTCTAAGAACTTAAAAATTTTAAATTGGACATTCACCTATTATGGTCCAATATCCAAAATCTAAATACATGGTTAGATTCAGCATATCAAAGAACTCCAAGAATTCAATTTTTGATGAAATCAAACAAAGTTTAATTATGGACCCTTTTGACCTCAATGTGGACAAAGTTGATAATGGGGCCCAAAAATCAAAAATCTAAATACATGGTTAGATTCAGCATATCAAAGAACCCCATATGTTCAATTTTTGTTGAAATCAAACAAAGTTTAATTTTGGACCCCGATTTGGACCAACTTGAAAACTGGGCCCATAATCAAAAATCTAAATACATGTATCAAAGAACCCTAAGAATTCAATTTTTGTTAAAATCAAACTAAGTTTAATTTTGGACCCTTTGGACCTTAATGTAGACCAATTTGAAAACGGAACCAAAAATTATAAATCTAAATACACGGTTAGATTCGGCATATCAAAGAACCCCAATAATTCAATTTTTGATGAAATCAAACAAAGTTTAATTTTGGACCCTTTGGACCTCAATGTGGACCAATTTAAAAACGGGGCCCAAAATCCAAAAACTTAATACACGGTTAGAATCAGCATATTAAAGAACCCCAAGAATTCAAGAATAAAACCCCATTGAAATTGGTAAAGAAATAAGAAATTTATACAAAGTATCTTCTTTTGCACAATACTGTGCAATTGAATATTTCTTGCTATTGCGCAATACTGTACATTTGACAATTTCTTGCTATTGCGCAATATTGTGCTATTGGATATTTCTTGCTATTGCACAATACTGTGCAATTGAAGATTTCTTGCTATTGCGCAATACTGTGCAACTGAAGATTTCTTGCTATAGTGCAATACTGTGCAATTGAAAATTTCTTGCTATTGCACAATACTTATTATATAATAATTTACACATCCTGTTTGGTGTGTATCTCCTACCATATCATTATTATTTGCTTTTAAATATAAAACAGAAATAACCAACTTAAAATGGCCCCTAATTCCTAAAATTTGAGGCAATATCCCCCCAAAATCAATCCCAGCCTTCCCTTTGTGGTATGGTACCTTGCAGTACAATTTCAGAGAGATCCATACACTTGAACACAAGTTATTGTCTGGAAACTAGAAAAATGCTTATTTTTGTCCCCTTTTTGGCCCCTTATTCCTAAACATTTTGGGCAATTACCCCCAAACTCAATTCCAGCTTTCCCTTTGTGATATGGAACCTTGTAGTACAATTTCAGAAAGATCCATACACTTACACACAAGTTATTGTCATGAAACTAGAAAAATGCTTGTTTTTTGCCCCTAATTCCTAATATTTTGAGGCAATTACCCCCAAAATCAATCCCAGCATTCCCTGTGTGATATGGAACCTTGTGGTACAATGTCAGAGAGATCCATACACTAACACACAAGTTATGTCTGGAAGTTACAAAAATGCTTATTTTTGGCCCCTAATTCCTTAACTGTTGGTACCATAACCCCCAAAATCAATCCCAACCTTCCTTTTGTGGTATTGAACCTTATGGTAAAATTTCATAGAGATCCATTCCCTTAAACTAAAGTTAGAGTGCGAAAACCAATGTGTCTTTGGACGACGACGACGCCAACGTCATACCAATATACGACCGCAAATATTTTTTGCGGTCGTATAAAAATAAATTGACAGCTAATCACCTCAAGACAATACAACCTTTGTTAATACATAATTTAAAAGCAGTGTAAGGGAGGTAATCCAAACATAATATTGTACTTTTTTTTAATTGTCCATTAACCAGGAAACCCTTGTTTTTCCCCCTTTTTTGCCCCCAATTCCTAAATGGTTTGAGCCATAACCATCCAAAGCCAATCCTAACCATCCCTTTGTGGTATGGAAACTTGTGGTATAATTTCAGCGAGATCCATACACCGCTCCACAAGTTATTGTCTGGAAACTAGAAAAATGCTTATTTGGGCCCCTTTTTGGCCCCGAATTCCTAAACTGTTAGGACTATAACCCCCAAAATCAATCCCAACCTTCCTTTTGTGGTTATAAACCTTTTGTTTAAATTTCATAGATTTCTATTTATATCTACTAAAGTTATTGTCTGGAAACCTAATGTCTTCGGACGACGCTGACAACGTGATACCAATATACGACCGCAAAATTTTTTGCGTCTTAAAAGTCAACTGATAAAGATTTATTGTGGATATGCACATTTACATATTATGTCCCAATTATTTACAAAATTTCAAATTTACAAATTCTGTTGTGTTGATTTAGAGGAGTTGCAATGGCAAACTGTTGCAGTAGTATATATAGGCCAAAATTCTTAACTTCAAAGGGGCACAACTCCTGGAAAAAAAATTGCATCACAATTTCCTGTCGATATGCACATCAACATACATGTAGTATGTCCTAATTATCTACAAAGTTTCATGAAATTCTGTTATATGATTTCAGAGGAGTTGCGATGACAAGAACAGGACTGAGGGACTGACAGACGAACAGACAGACCAGATGGATGGGTCAAAAACATTATACCCTACAGAACTTTGTTCCCCCTTTGTTCCTTGGGGTATAAAAATACAGTTTCAATGTATGACATTGTATGAATTACGTGCTCCAAGTAAAAAAATGTATTTTATAGATAGGCTATTTCTGCAAGTTTTTTTTTAAAAAGAATTTGTTGCCTTTTCTAACCACTATGATTTTTATGGTAACGTTTATCCTGCCTTTCTACATCTTTTGATCAAACATTCTAATTTGTTCAGAAAAATTGCAAGGTGTTTTGCAAAAGGATTGCATATAAATGCCTTTTCATTAAAATCTTGAAAATTGTTCAATTCTAGAAATAAAACAACATCATAGCTTGTTATACAGGGAAACATATTTTGATTTTCAAGGCAAAAATATTGCCTACCACCGGTAAATGAATCTACTAAAATGATAGTCCTATGTGAAGGGATAAGATACCGCCTTCAAAATAATAATCCTGCATACAATATATATATATAATAACACTGAATTATAAGTCAACTTTTATAATGAGCATTTATTACACCATTTACATTTCTTACACATGTCTAAGAATTTTCTGTCTGTTTTAACCTGAGAAACATACTCATTCAATTCAAGTTAAGATATTCTAGTGTATAAAATCTATGTTATTAACAAATTTTTCTAAACAGACACAAAAATACTACCATGATAAATTTTAGCTGCATTTCAACTGAAATACAAAATCAATGGTTACATCAGAAATTATAAAATTGAGTGTTCTAAGAATGGCGGGCCAAATGGTGAATTGTGTTAATTTCTCATTCTTACGTAAAATCCTGTACAACTGACATTCAATCAAAGAACAAACAACATTATGACTAACTGTAATGATCTCATGATTGCATTTCATGGTTTTATAAAAACATTGCCTTGACAAGACATATAAAATAATAAATAATAATCTGACAGATCTTTGCTACACATCACTTTTCCACAATTTTATTGTTTTGTCATTTTCTAAAGCTGCTGATGCAATAATGTTCTCTGTGGGATGACAGGCACAACACAATACCACATCTGAAAGTACAAAAAATTCAAAATGAAATTACTTATTCAAAATTTATAAGCACATTTTTTTAATAAGAAAAAAATATAAATAAAGTAGTGCAATATTAACTTTCCTATTATACATTTTTACAGCACAAGTCTTGTCACTTTCATGTTTTTGAAAATAAATAAATAAATTGGAATTGTAAATGATAGTAATACAAGAAAGAGGTTTAGTGTGCATTAAAACATAGTTGAATCCAACACTTATATTAACAAAATGTTTGTACCACATTATGGCAAGTGTTCCAATGATGATTTTGAGGATATTTTCCCTGACAGTAAGAAGACTTATTTTGTTATACTCTACTGAATAATATGTCTGGTATAGAAAACTTTGAAATGTTGTTAAAAATGGAAATTTCATAAAAACCATTTATGTCATTTAGCCTAAACTAGAGGCTCTAAAGAGCCTGTGTCGCTCACCTTGGTCTATGTGAATATTAAATAAAGGACGCAGATGGATTCATGACAAAATTGTGTTTTGGTGATGGTGATGTGTTTGTACATCTTAATTTACTGAACATTTTTCCTGCTTACAATTATCTCTATCTATAATTAACTTGGCCCAGTAGTTTCAGAGGAGAAGATTTTTGTAAAAGATTACTAAGATTTATGAAAAAATGGTTAAAAATTGACTATAAAGGGCAATAACTCCTAAAGGGGTCAACTGACAATTTCGGTCATGTTGACTTATTTGTAGATCTTACTTTGCCGACATTTATTGTTTTTTACAGTTTATCTCTATCTATAATAATATTCAAGATAATAACCAAAAACAGCAAAATTACCTTAAAATTACCAATTCAGGGGCAGCAACCCAACAACGGGTTGTCCGATTCATCTGAAAATTTCAGGGCAGATAGATCTTGACCTGATAAACAATTTTACTTCATGTCAGATTTGCTTTAAATGCTTTGGTTTTTGAGTCAAAAGCCAAAAACTGAATTTTACCCCTATGTTCTATTTTTAGCCGTGGCGGCCATCTTGGTTGGTTGACCAGGTCACGCCACACATTTTTAAAACTAGATAACCAAATGATGATTGTGGCCAAGTTTGGTTTAATTTGGCCACGTAGTTTCAGAGGAGAAGATTTTTGTAAAAGATTACTAAGATTTACGAAAAACTGTTAAAAATTGACTATGAAGGGCAATAACTCCTAAAGGGGTCAACTGACCATTTCAGTCATGTTGACTTATTTGTTAATCTTACTTTGCTGAACATTATTGCTGTTTACAGTTTATCTCTATCTATAATAATATTCAAGATAATAACCAAAAACAGCAAAATTACCTTAAAATTACCAATTCAGGGGCAGCAACCCAACAACAGGTTGTTCTATTCATCTGAAAATTTCAGGGCAGATAGATCTTGACCTGATAAACAATTTTACCTCATGTCAGATTTGCTCTAAATGCTTTGGTTTTTGAGTTATAAGCCAAAAACTGCATTTTACCCCTATGTATTATTTTTAGCTGTGGCCGCCATCTTGGTTGGTTGGCCGGGTCACGCCACACATTTTTTAAACTAGATACCCCAATGATGATTGTGGCCAAGTTTGGTTTAGTTTGGCCCAGTTGTTTCAGAGGAGAAGATTTTTGTAAAAGATAACTAAGATTTACGAAAAATGGTTAAAAATTGACTATAAAGGGCAATTACTCCTAAAGGGGTCAACTGACCATTTCGGTTATATTGACTTATTTGTAAATCTTACTTTGCTGAACATTATTGCTATTTACAGTTTATCTCTATCTATAATAATATTCAAGATAATAACCAAAAACAGCAAAATTTCCTTAAAATTACCAATTCAGGGGCAGCAACCCAATAACGGGTGGTCCGATTCATCTGAAAATTTCAGGGCAGATAGATCTTGACCTGATGAACAATTTTACCCCATGTCAGATTTGCTCTTAATGCTTTGGTTTTTGAGTTATAAGCTAAAAACTGCATTTTACCCCTATGTTCTATTTTTAGCCGTGGCAGCCATCTTGGTTGGTTGACCAGGTCACGCCACACATTTTTAAAACTAGATACCCCAATGATGATTGTGGCCAAGTTTGGTTAAATTTGGCCCAGTAGTTTCAGAGGAGAAGATTTTTGTAAAAGTTTACGGACGACGGACGACGGACGCAGGACGACGGACGACGGACGCAAAGTGATGAGAAAAGCTCACTTGACCTTTCAGGTCAGGTGAGCTAAAAAATGGAAATGGGCTATATTGCACCAAATAAGTAGATATGATATAACACATATTTCCTAAATATAACCTTTCTTATACTCTAATGTGCAATTTTCAAAGAGTTGCCATCAAACCAGCAGTCAAAAATGTAAAAAAAAGTACCTGTGTGGCCCTGCAATTTCTGTACAATTTCTTTTGTCTGTAAATTCCATATAAATACTGTATTGTCCTCTGAACCAGATACTATCCACTAAAATAGTCATAAAACATGAAAATTAAAATAGAAGTACACAAAAGAAAGTGTTTTCCTCAGGTATAAACAAGTAAGGGAATATCTTCCTGTTTATATATGGACTTGAGATAAATATGCTGTTTATATTCAATTGTTCAAATATCGACATAAGGGCTGTTCCAGAATTATAAAATTTTCATTTTACTTATAATTCTTAAAAAATTCGAAGGAAAATGCAACCATCCACAATCCATTATTTTGATTGCCTCCCACCAATCCCCCCCATCACAAGAAGTTTTGGAACAACCCTTACTCAATTAAAACATGTATAACTATTTAATCCATTTTAAGAATAAAGCAAATTTTCATTTATGATGTTAGGGAGTCAACTCTTCAAATATCCAGACAGGATAAAACTGAAATCTTATTTCTGACTTCTGTAGTGTTCTTCTGGTGTCTTTTATATTCTGTGTCATTGGCTTGCTGTCTCATTAACATATACCAAACAAATCTTTTTAGTTATAATCAAGAGAGTAAAAAGCTGCTTTTTTTACTTTCAAAATATAAGTAATAAATAATATTGACAATAAAAGAAATGTTTATAGTGATATTTTTCAATTTAAATTTCCTACACCTCAAAAATCATGTGGGACAGCCTATTTTCAAAAAACACCTGCCAAATTAATGACACAAACTGTGAGGTTCTATTGATAAAACAATGGTTTCAGAACATACCTGGTAAGTTCCCAGTGGAATATTTTTTTATTTGTGTTGCATTTATATGGGGTTTTAAACAGGGATATTCAGGTTTGAGGTGATTTTTCATGAAAATTATTATAAAAATTAAATATTGGAACTGTATGGATATCCCCTTCAGCTTGGCTTTGTTATATGTGATTAAAGGGGATTTTTGGAAAATTTGTTTCTGAGGGAATTTATAGGTCTCCAAAGATGACGGATGAAATGGGGTCTGGACCAATAAGTTTAAACAGTATATCTTCTAACTGCAGACACATATAAAAAATCTGAGACACAATTTTGTAGCTTGTTTGGTCAATTAAAGGAATGAAAACCAAATTTTTGATACCATATGATCTGAATGTCTTATTTTCATCTGAGTTGGTAGAGCACTATCTTGGCAGTTAATGAGTCATATGTTTCTAATTGATAATATAAGAACCTTTATCTACAGATTAAGAAAGAGTAATATTTAAGCTTGACAAGAGTGCACACGCTGAAAAATGTCTCGCCTTCTTTACTGACCATTGATTTTATGTTGATAGTCCTAAATATAAAGCTTTACTAAAAGTATCACATAAACTTAACATGATCCAAGAAAATGAGGTCAAGATCAGATAAACCAAACAGGAAATACATGCACACCTTACAATCATTCAATACACCAAATATAGTTGATCTATTGCCTATAGTTTCTAAGAAACAGACTTAAACAGGAAAACTAAACATTGACCAATGAACCATGAAGATAAGGTCAAGGTCAGATGAACCATCCCAGACAGACATGTACACCTTACAATCAATCTTTGCATTAAATATAGTTGACCTATTGCTTATAGTATCTAAGAAAAACTTAACCATGAAAACTTAACATTGACCAATGAACCATGAAAATGAGGTCAAGGTCAGATGATACCTGCCAGACAGACATATATACCTTACAATCATTCCATACAACAAATATAGTTGACCTATTGGTTATAGTTTAAGAAAAGCAGACCAAAACGCAAAACTAAACACTGAGCAATGAACCATGAAAATGAGGTCACGGTCAAATAAAACCTGCCAGACTGACATGAACAATGTAAAATATTTCCATACACCAAATATAATTGACCTATTGCATATGTTATTAGAAAAAAAAACCAAAACACAAAAATTTATCTCTAACCACTGAACCATGAAAATGAGGTCAAGGTCAGATGACACCTGCCAGTTGGACATGTACACCTTACAATCATTCCATACACCAAATATAGAAGACCTATTGCTTATAGTATCTGATATAGGTGTAATACCACCAAATCATAGTACGTCACATCCGGTTGCATACGAAAATAGGTCGAAAAAAAATATTCCCTTGAATTTGACAGTTGTAGGTAATTGATCCTACATTTCATTGCAGTAAAACATTTCTGAGTCATAAACATATATCTTGGGTATTTCAAAGCACCATTATTTCTTTATTTGGGGTTTCTATAGAATATTTTGGAAACTTGAGGTTACATGGTTACTAAAGCTTGTACACAGGTTAAAAAAGGGGGAAAATTTGATTGGTTAACTTCCAGTGATGGTTATTTTCTTATATGCAATGAAATGTTATGTGAAATTTTTTCTATAGTACTGGACAGGATAAAACTTTACTCATGCCAAGTATTTCTTTATTTGAAACAAAGATAAATTCTGCACAATTTTTTGAAAAGTGCAAATTTAACAAAGACTAATAGGGGAAAATCAATGGTGGTATTACACCTAATATGGGAAGCTGTACATGCACCTTTGAGTACTCTCATGTGTTAAAATTTCTTGCTATTTAAGTGAAATATTACAAATAATGAAATATTCTGAGTGGATTGAGTCTCCAAAATACATTTTACGAGAAAATTTCCTTGAAATAGGACTTTACCATGAATATTAGTTGACAGAACAAGCCATACTTAGAGTCTTGGGGAGCTTTTTCTCCTTATTTCTGATATTCTGCTATACTAGAAAATTTTTCCTAAGAAATACTTTAATAAATATATAGTTTTAAGTAAATGAAATTATTTTTAAAGCAGTAACAACAAATTATTCACCAAAAGAGAAGTTTTTTATGTCCCTCTCTGGAACGCGGCGTAAATTTAAGTTTTACGCAAGGACTTATTGAAACCTCCTTGGAGACAGTAAACTTTTATACGGATAGTTCAAGCAGCTTGAATACTTCAATTAATCATTTATAATAACATTCCTATCATAAATGAGTGAAAGTTACCCCAAAATTTTTATTTATTGGCCTAAAAAGTAGAAATTTTGAGGAAATGAGAGGTATAAATGGACCAAAAGAGACTTTATAAGGAAGAATAAGAGGTCCATTAGTAGTATTTATCATCCTAAAGTCATCTTTTGTATCATATTCAACTGTTTGTAGGCAGATGAGATAAATATTTGATCATTTATTGGTCCACACTATATTCTATCATGATGCGGCTTGGTTTGAATTTTTCGAAGAAATTTTGCTCGAATCGCTGTAGATGTCGTCTTACATTATACTAGATTTTTCTCAAACTATTGAACTGATTATGACAAAACTTGACAGGAATGCTTGAAATAACCAGTATTACAAAGGAAAAAAGTCACATTCAGTTTATTCAACAAAAAAGTCTTCTTTAGGTGTAATACCACCAAATCATAGTACGTCACATCCGGTTGCATACGAAAATAGGTCGAAAAAAAATATTCCCTTGAATTTGACAGTTGTAGGTAATTGATCCTACATTTCATTGCAGTAAAACATTTCTGAGTCATAAACATATATCTTGGGTATTTCAAAGCACCATTATTTCTTTATTTGGGGTTTCTATAGAATATTTTGGAAACTTGAGGTTACATGGTTACTAAAGCTTGTACACAGGTTAAAAAAGGGGGAAAATTTGATTGGTTAACTTCCAGTGATGGTTATTTTCTTATATGCAATGAAATGTTATGTGAAATTTTTTCTATAGTACTGGACAGGATAAAACTTTACTCATGCCAAGTATTTCTTTATTTGAAACAAAGATAAATTCTGCACAATTTTTTGAAAAGTGCAAATTTAACAAAGACTAATAGGGGAAAATCAATGGTGGTCTTACACCTATATGGACTTGACCACGAAAACTTAACCTTGTTCACTGATCCATGAAATGAGGTTGAGGTCAGATGAAAACTGTCTGACGGGCATGAGGACCTTGCAAGGTACGCACATATTAAATATAGTTATCCTAATACTCATAATAAGAGAGAAATTAACATTACAAAAAATCTTCCCTTTTTTTTCAAGTAGTTACTGAACCATGAAAATGAGGTCAAGGACATATGACAGATGGAAACTTCATAACATAAGGCATCTATATACAAAGTATGAAGCATCCAGGTCTTCCACCTTGGAAAATATAAAGCTTTTAAGAAGTAAGCTAACGCCGCCACCGGATCACTATCCCTATGTCGAGCTTTCTGCGACAAAAGTCGCAGGCTCGACAAAAACGAGTTATGGATTTTAAAAAGCCATTACATAGTTTTTGAGAAATTAATCTGTTGGTTGCAGCAGGAAAATCCAGACTAGTGCTACCATAAGGGGTTCTATTGATTATAGTAAGTGTGACTACACCAAAAAAAGTATTCGCAGCTATGCAGACAGAACACAAATAATTTTCATAGGTGAGTGGGAGACATATTACATAAAACCTTGTTTACATGATTTATAATGGTGCTATTTATAAGCTAAAACCAGAAAAAACATACCTTTCCTCCTGTTACAGAAAAGTTTGCAAATATACAGTATTTCTCATTTTTATGACCAGAATATGTTTTCAAACACTGAAAAGAGATAACAAATACATTTGAATAACATACCATCAGTAAATAACTTTTGTATAACAGTCCCTTTTCTAATAAATATATTGTTCTATGTAGAAGGCAAACTAGAGGCTCTTAAGAGCCTGTGTCGCTCACCTGTATCTACTGTGGTTTTGGAAATCATGTAAAATAAGGTTAAAATCATAATAAATAGTATTAGATACCCTAATAATGATTGAGGCCAAGTATGGTTTAATTCGGCCCAGTAGTTAAATTTAAAGCAGGTCATCCCATTGTAGTCTTACAATAGTTACTGAAGACCCCTTATCCATTATTTAAATTAGTTTTCAAGTTGTGACCATTTGAAAATGAAATTGTTTTTTTACAATTTTCCCATAGACTTCTATAGTAAACCCCTATGTCCTATTTATAGCCATAGTGGCCATGTTGGTTGGATGATAAGGTCATCGGATACATTTTTCAATCAAGATACCCTATTGAAAATTGTGGCTTAGTTTAATTCTATTTGGCCCAGTAGATTAAGTGGAGAAGATTTTTGTAAAAGATTACAAAAATTTACGAAAAATTGTGAAAAATTTACTTTAAAGGGTAATAACTCCTGAAGGGGTTAATTGACAATTTTGATCATGTTGATTTATTTGTAGAGCTTACTTTGCTGAACATTTTTGCTGTTTTCTTAAAATTACCAATTCAGAGGCAGTAACCCAACAATGGGTTGTCTGATGCGTCTGAATATTTAAGGGCAGATAGATCTTGACCTGATGAACATTTTTGCCCCATGTCAGATTTGCTCTAAATGCTTTAGTTTCAGAGATATAACCCGAACTGCATTTTACCCCCCATGTTCTATTTTTAGCCACGGTGGCCATCTTGATTGATGGGCAGGGTCCTCAGATACATTTTTTAAACTACATACCCTAAGGATGATTTAGGCAAGTTTGGTTTAATTTGGCCCAGTAGTTTCAGGAGAAGATTTTTCTAAAAGATTACAGAAATTTACGAAAAAATTTGAAAAATTGACTTTAAAGGGCAATAACTCCTTATGGGGTCAATTGACAATTTTGGTCATATTGACTTATTTGTAGATCTTACTTTGATGAACAATTTTGTTGTTTACAGTTTATCTTTATCTATTATAATATTCAAGATAATATCCATTAAGAGGCTATCAGAGTGACAGCAAAACGGATTTCCTGCAGAGGTCGAACGCTGAACAGTTGAGCAAGTATGGACACTACATTTAAGCTTAAAACAGCTCTGAATTTGGATTGTGATTAAATATTTGACACAGCATAGGTTTGTGACACAAAATGAATGTGGTCAAAGAACTGAAAAATTTGAAATCGGACATTTACTTATTATGGTCCAATATCCAAAATCTAAGTACATTGTTAGAATCAGCATATCAAAGAACCCCAAGAATTCAATTTTTGATGAAATCAAACAAAAGTTTAATTTAGGACCCTTTGGACTCAATGTGGACCAATTTGATAAAGGAGCCCAAAATCCAAAATCTCTAAATACATGGTTAGATTCAGCATTTCAAAGAACCCAATAAATTCAAATTTTGTTGAATCAAACAAAGTTTAATTTTGGACCCTGATTTGGATCAACTTGAAAACTGGGCCCAAAAATCCAATATCTAAATACAGGTTTAGATTCAGCATTTGAAAAAACCCTATATATATTTAATTTATGTTGAAATGAAACACAGTTTAATTTTATCCATATTATTATTAATTTTCTGTTCAAAGGGAAACAAGAAATGATTGTAACAGGATGCTGTTACGAAGTCTCCCAAACGAAGCTCCCATAATTCGTAATTCCCAGGGTCGCCTGATATTGGGCAACGTCCAGTGAAAATTGGTTTGGTCCAGTAAAGTTATATTCATTAGTGATGCCTGGGGACTAACCTTGTATATCATTCAAATCATCTTGGCATGACAAACCAGAATATATATGGTTTAGGGGTGGGGATCTTGACCACTTACAAGATATTAGAAATTTCTTAAATGGCAGGGGGTGGGGGTGATCCCTGGGGACTAACCCTGTATATCATTTGATGTGCTTTATCATGACAAACCAGAATATATATGGTTTAGGGGTGGGGATCTCGACCATTTACAAGATATTAGAACTTTCTCAAATGGCAGGGGGTCGGGATGACCCCTGGGGACTAACCCTGTATATCATTCAAACCATCTTAGCATGACAAACCAGAATATATATGGTTTAGGGGTGGGGATCTCAACCATTTACAAGATATTAGAACTTTCTTAAATGGGTGGGGCGACCCCTGGGGACTAACCCTGTATTTCATTTGATGTGCTTTATCATGACAAACCAGAATATAAATGGTTTAGGGGTGGGGATCTCGACTGTTTACAAAGATATTAGAACTTTCTCAAATGGCAGGGGGTCAGGATGACCCCTGGGGACTAACCCTGTATATCATTCAAACCATCTTAGCATGACAAACCAGAATATATATGGTTTAGGGGTGGGGATCTCAACCATTTACAAGATATTAGAACTTTCTTAAATGGCAAGGGGTGGGGGTGACCCCTGGGGACTAACCCTGTATTTCATTTGATGTGCTTTATCATGACAAACCAGAATATAAATGGTTTAGGGGTGGGGATCTCGACCATTTACAAGATATTAGAACTTTCTCAAATGGCAGGGGGTCGGGATGACCCCTGGGGACTAACCCTGTATATCATTCAAATCATCTTAGCATGACAAACCAGAATATATATGGTTTAGGGGTGGGGATCTTGACCACTTACAAGATATTAGAACTTTCTTAAATGGCATGGGGTGGGGGTGACCCCTGGGGACTAACCCTGTATTACATTTGATGTGCTTTATCATGACAAACCAGAATATATATGGTTTAGGGGTGGGGATCTCGACCATTTACAAGATATTAGAACTTTCTCAAATGGCAGGGGGTTGGGATGACCCCTGGGGACTAACCCTGTATATCGTTGAAACCATCTTAGCATGACAAACCAGAATATATATGGTTTAGGGGTGGGGATCTTGACCACTTACAAGGTATTAGAACTTTCTTAAATGGCAGGGGGTGGGGCTGACCCCTGGGGACTAACCCTGTATTTCATTTAATGGGCTTTATCATTTAGAACATTTTCAATTTAAAAGATTGTGTCTATCACAAACGGTTTTCAATTAATAATCATTTGAAAATTTTAAAAAATAAAATCCCATAGGGTTCTATAGTAAAACCCTCTTTTCTTTTTGCCCCTCAAAGTACCCCTTTATAAACCCCATTGCACAAACAAAACCCTGATTGCACCACTAGACATGCTAGTCTAACATATTGTGAAACCCTAAGTTAATCTGACAAGCGGTTTTGGAGAACGGGTGCGGACAAGTTCAAATTTAAAAGCGGCGGAAGAAGAAGAAGAATAATAATAATAATAAGAACTGAGCAAAAACAATAAGTCTTCCCAAACTTCGTTTGGGAGACTTAATAACTCAAACTGAATAAATGATATACAAATAGTTCTCTAAAATTAGATATAATTTAACCACTAAAAAATAGTTCGCTAAAATTAGATATGATGTTATATCTATTTTCAATTTATAATCAATCAAATTTGATATGATTTAACCACTTAACATTGTTAGAATCAGCATATCAAACAACCCCAAGAATTCAATTTTTGATGAAATTAAACAAAATTTTAATTTAAGACCCTTTGGACCTCAATGTGGTATTATCTAATTAATAATGAAAATAAATACAGATTTAGATTCAGCATTTCAAAGAAACCTATATATATTCAATTTATGTTGAAATCAAACACAGTTTAATTTTGGACCCCGATTTGGACCAACTTGAAAACTGGACCCAAAATCAGAAATCTAAATATATGTTTATTGATAGACAATATAAGCTTAGTTTTTAAAGGAGTTCACTTCATTAAAATATATATATATATATATATAGCATTTAGAAAATTAGTTAATACAGAATAACAAACAAACCTACCACAAAATTCTTCAAACAATTTACCAAAGAAAAGAAAAATCCAAAATGTCATTTATCATTAATACAATGTCTTTTAAAAATCTATACAACTTATATGTAAGTGTTATCAAACTTTGTATAAATAATAAACCATTTCTGTTCAAAGGGAAATAACTCAATCACATAATAAGTATCACTTTTGGCTACTGGAAAAGGGCTATAACTCAACAACTAGAAAAGCTGAACTTGACCTTCATTTAGTCACAGGAAACAACATATCTAAATTTGAAAAGATTTCATCAATGCGTTTTCATGTTAATGAACAGACAGTTTGGCAGCCTCCTGCCCGCCGTACATCCCCAAATCAATAACCGATTTTTTCCTTCGAAAATCCAGTTAAAAACTGCAAAATTTCCTTATAACCAATTCAGGGGCAGCAACCCAACAAAGGGTTGTCTGATGCATCTGAAAATTTCAGGGCAGATAGATCTTGACCTGATGAACATTTTTACCCCCATGTCAGATTTGCTCTAAATGCTTTAGTTTTAGAGATATAAGCCAAAAACTGCATTTTACCCCCATGTTCTATTTTTAGCCATGGAGACCATCTTGGTTGATGGGCGGGGTCATCGGATATATTTTTTAAACTAGATACTCTAAGGTTGATTTAGGCCAAGTTTGGTGTTATTTGTCCCAGTAGTTTCAGAGAAGATTTTTGTAAAAAAAAGGTCAGGATCTCTTTTATCATGTCTACATTTCATAGACATTATCCCCTTTTCGAAATTTTGAAATTTAGAATTTCCCAAATCCCCCCTCCTGTCAATTTCTCAACATGTGAAATCCCATGACGAAAAAAAAAAAGAAAAACTCTTTATTTCTGTGATTCATTTAATGTTAATTTCAGAATTTTTACCATTCAAAAGACATTTTTGAATCAAAGTGATCGAACTATGCAAAAGTTTCAAGTAAATTGACCATCACTTGTGGGTTGTAGCCAAATAATCAACATGGAAATAAGATGTACCAATGGCATAATCACAAACTTTAAACAGCATGCCCAAGCCTTGGATCAGTGATTTCGTCTACAATGAAATCACCGACAAGACCAATAATTAGTCTTCAAACACAAATTTGTTCCTATAATAAACCTTGAAAATAATATGGTCTCACTTTTCAACCAAAAGCTAATGAATTAACTTACCTTTCCTTTGCTGTAGTCCCATAATTTTAATGTGCTGCAAACAAAATAAGATATATCATTCAACAGTTTATTTCAGACTCTAAATATCAACAGAAATATGAACTTATCCAGTTTTGGCACATGGAAAGCTTTAGAAAATCATCAAAGTACAAAAATAAAGAAACCTTTTCTACATAAACTGCATTGAGATAAATATATCTGCAATCGTGTACGCTATTTGGATATCCTCATTTAATTACAACTAACTGTGATACAAATTTCATATAATACAAAATTTACAAAAATAAAGTGTATCATGATGACCATCCTTTAATATATCCTTACAATAAAAAATAACGAAAGACTGATTTTAGGATTGCCCAAAAACAAGTGTTCTTTTACTGTGCTAGGAAAGCTGCGTGTCTTTCCTATAATGGTTTTACTTACTTGTCTAATGTTGCTGCTAAAATGTACTTTCCATTGGGTGAAAATTTGACAAATGACACTGGTGGATTATCATCATCTAGCAACAAAAAACAATGTAAACATAAGTACCTCAAATCTGAGGATCACAAGTTTTCCTGTAATTAGAATATAAGCAAAAAATCATGTTGCAATTGAGTAATTTCCTGGAAGGTGAAATCAGTTTTTACTGACTTATCTGCATCATATTGAAAATGATGGTAACATTACAAAATATCTTGAATGTTGCGCTTTCTTTTATTACTTAATATTGCAAACCAGATGCATTTTCAGTCAATATAAGAAAATATTACATGTATTATAACCATATGAATTTCCAAAGCTTGCAGATAAATACAAAAATCTTAAATGTCCTGTTGTGAATTTGCTTTTACATCATAGTCTTTTTATGAATAAAGTTGATTAAGATATTTATTGTTCTCTGTCACCTTGAAAAACCATCTATCCCTAATATTGGTTAAGTGAATATTTTACACGAGATAAATGTAAGTACAGTGACTGGGACTATGAACAAGAGGCTCTCAAGAGCCTGAATCGCTCACCTGCATTTTAGAGGAGAAGATTTTTAAATGTTAGAAAACTTGATGAACAAATTGTGTAAAATTGTCTTTAAAGGGCAATAACTCCTTAAGGGGTCAGTTGACAATTTTGGTCATATTAACTTTTTTGTAGATCTTACTTTGCTGAACATTATTGCTGCTTACAGTTTATAGATATCTATAATAATATTCAAAATAATAACAAAAAACTGCAAAATTTTGTTAAAACTACCAATTCGGTGGCAGCAACCCAACAATGGGTTGTTTGATTCGTCTGAAAATTTCAGAGCTGATAGATCTTGACCAACTGAACAAGTTGATCCCATGTCACATTTGCTCTAAAAGATTTAGTTATGAGATATAAGCTAAAAACTGCATTTGATCCTTATGTTCTATTTTTAGCCATGGCGGCCATGTTTGTCGATGGATACAAACTTCGGATACAATTTATAAACAAGATACCCTAAGGAACATTTAGTTAAAGTTTGAAGGTAATTGGCCCAGTAGTTTCAGAGTAGAAGATTTTTAAATGTTAGCAAACTTGATGAACAAATTGTGTAAAATTGTCTTTAAAGGGCAATTACTCCTTAAGGGGTCAATTGACAATTATGGTCATATTAACTTTTTTGTAGATTTTACTTTGCTGAACATTATTGCTGCTTACAGTTTATATATATCTATAATAATATTCAAAATAATAACAAATAAAATGCTCCGCTGGGGCGCAGCTTGATACGACCGCAGAGGTCGAACCCTGAACAGTTGGGGCAAGTATGGACACAACATTCAAGCTTGATACAGCACTGAATTTGGATTGTAATTAAATATTTGACACAGCATAGGTTTCTGACACAGAATGAAAGTGGTCTAAGAACTTAAAAATTTTCAATTTACCTATTCATACATGTGATGGACTGTGAAACTCAGATCAGGAGATTGGGAAATTTTGGTCAGGAGATTAGGACTCAGATCAGGAGGTTTTTAATCGACATTAATTTTGTTGTAAATGTAACCGTGTGCTGTAAAAATGGTCTTTTAAAGTGTGTTTTCTTCAACTTTCCATCCAATTTATTATGTTTATAGTACCCTTGTACTTATAAAGTTTCTCCATCTTTATATTCTACATGTTCAATTTAACATTGTTTTTTTCCAGTATGTTCTTTAAATTTTTTACTTCATATTCTATACAAGAGTGCACACGCTGAAATGTCTCGCCTTCTTTACTAATCATTGATATTATGTTGATAGTCCTAAATATAAAGCTTTATTACAACTGTCACATAAACTTAACATTAACCAAGTAAAATAAACATTGACCAATGAACCATGAAAATGAGGTCAAGGTCAGATGAACCATGCTAGGCAGGCATGTACAGCTAACAATTCTTCCATACAACAAATATAGTTGACCTATTGCTTATAGTTTAAGAAAAACAGACCAAAACACAAAAACTTAACACTGAGCAATGAACCTTGAAAATGAGGTCAAGGTAAAAAAAAAACCTGCGTGACTGACAAATAGATCATAAAATATTTCCATACACCAAATATAGTTGAACTATTGCATATAGTATTAGAAAAAAAGACCAAAACTCAAAAACTTAACTTTGACCACTGAACCATGAAAATGAGGTCAAGGTCAGATGACACCTGCCAGCTAGACATGTACACCTTACAATCATTCCATACACCAAATATAGTAGACCTATTGCATACAGTATAAGAAAAACAGACCAAAACACAAAACCTTATCTATAACCACTGAACCATGAAAATGAGGTCAAGGTCAGATGACACCTGCCAGTTGGACATGTACACCTTACAGTCCTTCCATACACCGAATATACTAGACCTATTGCTTATAGTATCTGAGATATGGACTTGACCACCAAAACTTAACCTTGTTCACTGATCCATGAAATGAGGTCGAGGTCAAGTGAAAACTGTCTGACGGGCATGAGGACCTTGCAAGGTACGCACATACCAAATATAGTTATCCTATTACTTATAATAAGAGAGAATTTAACATTACAAAAAATCTTAACTTTTTTTTCAAGTAGTCACTGAACCATGAAAATGAGGTCAAGGACATTGGACAGAAACTTCGTAACATGAGGCATCCATATACAAAGTATGAAGCATCCAGACCTTCCACCTTCTAAAATATAAAGCTTTTAAGAAGTGAGCTAACGCCGCCGCCGCCGGAGGATCACTATCCCTATGTCGAGCTTTCTGTGACAAAAGTCGCAGGCTCGACAAAAACAATCATTGCAACCAGAACATTTGTTAAGCTGTCTGCAAATAGTTTTTATTTTTATTTTTTTTTTCTCTTGCAAATAGTTTTTATTTGCAAACTCAGAAATTCATTCAATCTGTAAAGGTAGGGTCATAGTTATTATATAAATTTCAATTTAAGCCTTAAAAGGAAGTATAGAATCCTCAAATAATTTTCAAATTATTATTTTTTTATTTGTCCTAAGACATTTAAAATCATTTAATAACCATCCTTTTATGATTATTTGTTCAATTTATATTTTATTTATATTCTTTTAAAAATTTTCATTATTAAAAGGAAAGTAACTTAAAACAGGATAAATCAAGGGAAGTAACCCAATAAATACACAGTTTTTGTTACACAACGGCAGTTAGCCTGAGGTAAAAATCGTTGCTTACCAGTATGTTTGACACCCAAGCTCACAAGTGAAGCCATATAATTATGCATGTTAATTGATTTACAGGTAAAATATAACTTCAGGTAATGTCAGTTACACCAGATGCCTGAGATGTTATGTTGGGCAGAAATTTTTCATTCATGAAAAATTTCATACACAGGATTTTTTCAACGGGAGGTCGGGAGGAGACCCCTGAAAACGGGATTATTGTACTCCCGTCGGGAGGTTCACATGTATGCCTATTCAAACCATATCATTATTATTTGCTTTTATATATAAATCAGAAATAACCAATTTAAAATGGAAAATGTTAAAGAAAAAAAAGGAAAAAAAAAATCCCCCCCCCAATTTTTTGAACCCCCTTATGATTCATCGCCCCCAAACTCAATCCCAGCTTTCCCTTTGTGGTATGGTACCTTGCAGTACAATTTCAGAGAGATTCATACACTTGAACACAAGTTATTGTCTGGAAACTAGAAAAATGCTTGTTTTTTGGCCCCTTTTTGGCCCCAAATTCCTAAACGTTTAGGGCAATTACCCCCAAACTCAATTCCAGCTTTCCCTTTGTGATATGGAACCTTGCAGTACAATTTCATAAAGATCCATACACTTACACACAAGTTATTGTCCTGAAACTAGAAAAATGCATGTTTTTCTTGCCCTTTTATGGCCCCTAATTACTAAAATTTTGAGGGAAAACCCCCAAAATCAATCCCAGCCTTCCCTTTGTGATATGGAACCTTGTAGTACAATTTCATAAAGATCCATACACTTACAAACAAGTTATTGTCATGAAACTAGAAAAATGCTTGTTTTTTGCCCCTTTTTGGCCCCTAATTCCTAATATTTGGAGGAAATTACCCCAAAAATCAATCCCAGTATTCCCTTTGTGATATGGAACCTTGTAGTACAATTTCATAAAGATCCATACACTTACAAACAAGTTATTGTCATGAAACTAGAAAAATGCTTGTTTTTTGCCCCTTTTTGGCCCCTAATTCCTAAAATTTGGAGACAATTACCCCCAAAATCAATCCCAGCATTCCCTTTGTGATATGGAACCTTGTGGTACAATGTCAGAGAGATCCATACACTTACACACAAGTTATGTCTGGAAGTTACAAAAATGCTTATTTTTGGCCCCTTTTGGCCCCTAATTCCTTAACTGTTAGTACCATAACCCCCAAAATCAATCCCCACCTTCCTTTTGTGGTATTGAACCTTATGGTAAAATTTCAATGAGATCCATTCACTTAAACTAAAGTTAGAGTGCGAAAACTAATGTGTATTCGGACGACGACGCCGGACGACGACGACGACGACGACGACGACAACGACGCCAACGTCATACCAATATACGACCACAAAAATTTTTTTGCGGTCGTATAAAAACTGCAAAATTTTGTTAAAACTACCAATTCGGTGGCAGCAACCCAACAATGGGTTGTTTGATTTGTCTGAAAATTTCAGAGCTGATAGATCTTGACCAACTGAACAATTTTACCCCATGTCAGATTTGCTCTAAAAGCTTTAGTTTTTGAGATATAAGCCAAAAACTGCATTTGACCCCTATGTTCTATTTTTAGCCATGGCGGCCATGTTTGTCGATGGATCAAAACTTCAGATACAATTTATAAACTAGATACCCTAAAGAACATTTAGTTAAAGTTTGAAGGTATTTGGCCCAGTAGTTTCAGAGGAGATGATTTTTTAAATAGTTTACGACGACAGACGACGGACGCCAAGTGATGGCATAAGCTCACATGCGGCCCTTCAGGCCCCGGTTAGCTGAAAAGGATCGGTTTGGACAGTGGGTCGGTTTATGCAGGTTTCCGTTTTGACAGGAAGTTATTGACTTGTGACGTCAGATATTTTGCATGTAAAAGTTCTGTCTCATTGTAAATTGTAAACCTATAAAAACAAATACCTTAATAATCTATTTATTAAAAGTTATGTCATGATTTTTGAGAAAATATTGTGACATGAACATTACAAGTGTTCCCTGCCTTTTCAACATTTAACTATTTTGAGTCTTCGTATTCATTGGCTTTAGAAATTTCAGAAATAAGTTGTCCCCCGAATTCAAAAAAATATATTTTCACACTTTTTTACATATGCTCGCATGTCAAATCGACCTCAGTAGCATTAGTCTCTGACTAGTCAGTTTCATTTTGAGTTCATTGTTTTCATTTGAATCAGAATTTTCTCGTTGTTTGAATTGTTCAACGAGAGTTTCGTTTTATTTCCTTTGTTAATTTCCTACGTTGGTATTGCCGATTAAAAAGCAAGAATTTTATCAAACGAAATTTCATCATAATCGAAACATTGTCGTTCAATGCACGATACCCACAAACTCGACAATGTAATGTCTTCATCCAGGTCTTCTTCATTTAAGGTTATTGGTTTCGGAGTTCACAACAGGAAACCCAGTATTTCGAAAACATTATGTAAATTTCTTACTCCGCGATTTAAAAAAATTTATCAAAGTTACAATGTAAGTTCTATTCGAAATATATTCAATGTTTCTTTTAGTGTGTTTTATTTAAACCTTAATAGCGTTTCAATAATAAATCTCACTACTGTAGGTTCACGGTTTAACACCTTGCTAATTGATTATCCTGAATCAAAGTGCTTGTAAGCATTAAAGGGTAAAGATTGCTTTCATTTTTCAGTGGGAGTAAATATTGCAATGTATAAAGCATTGGTTGTAGTCGATTCAATTACAATTCTGGACAAAGGAAAATAACTCCAATTTTTATAGATGACTTTAACAATGATATCATTGATATTTTTAGAACAGATATTAGATTCCAGCACCTTGCAAAAGTTATGTAATTTTCCTGACAAGTATAACATCATTTTGTAACTTGAATACCTGAGCATATATTTCATTGATAAATTTCTGGAAATGTTTGTAGATAGGATGTATAGAATGTTATGATCAATGCACTATATTTTGTGTATCTCAAAAGTAGTGATAAACCTTGGAAGATTTAGATATCAAGTCAGTACCATAGGGTTTTGATTGCATTTCATGCAATCTTTACCCAAAAACCATCTTGTATAAACAATTATGTTTTGATTGCATATCAATCAATACTGTTATCATGTTAAATTAATTAAACAAACCGGTTTTGACAGGTAATAATTAATGTAATTAAGAGTATTGGGACTGCTTAATTAGACCGGAATTCTGAATACACAGTGTCTAGTTTAGAGGGGGTATTTTTACAAGGACTTTGAAGGGGAAAAAAATGGGACTTCAATTTTCAGCCGGAATGGACAGGAAACCGGTTTATTCAGGGTCTGGTTTAACCAGGTTTGACTGTTTTATAAAATGATTCTGATTTTCTTAACTTCAAAATTATCATCAGTAAAGTCTCATATAGAAAAAATACAGCATTAGTTTAAGCACAAAATTAATTTTAACTTCTGATCACCCCAAATACATTATTTAGTTGTCGACCAGAGATTTCTTATAATTTATAAAGCATAAATTCTATATAAAATCCTACTTACCTATCAATGTTTTTAAACACTGGCCTGATGCTGTATCCCATATTCGACTGAAAATAGTTTTCAATCCCATATTTTAACAATACATAATCAGCAATGATGTAAAATGTGATCTAAAGGACATTTAAATTGTGTGTAAAACAACACAGATTTAATCAAAACACAGAAAGGCACAAATAATTTTATCTATTATATCAAAAAATATTTTCTACAAATCTTCTTTTTTTTCTGCTTACAAGGAAATCTGTTAATTTGTGTTTAACTCACTTTATATAAATGTATTTCATTCTTTGGTGTCACTGTGCTCAATTCAGTTGAAAATAAAACACATTGCACAAAATAGTTATCCTTTCCTTGACACTGAAATAAATCAATTTTCAAAACAATTTTTTTTTTATTCCCAGGATTTACGCAATTACCAGTATTTGGCAATTTTTAAAAAATTATTTTGGTGGGAAACATAGTATACTATGAATTACTGCATTCAGCAACCTCAAATCAAAGAAAAAAAAATCCTGGCACACTTTGAAACTTGTCCAAATATGATTACTGGAACCTTTCTTCTTTTCTTTGATTAAGAGTATGCTAAAATATCTATAAATGCAAAACTTACCACAAACCATCATAACTACTTGATACTATTAATGAACCATCTCTGTTAAAATGTACCTACAAGTAAATAAACAAAGTTAAGACAGGAAATATCCTATTGAACCATCTCTATTAAAATGTACCTACAAGTATAAAATCAAAGTTAGGACAGGAAATATCCTAAACAACTATATAGACCAGTGCTAATAGAAACCTGAAGGGACAGCAAACTAGTTTAAGAGCACCTGTCTGAGGGAACAAAAAACAATTGCACATGTAAACTACCATATATTTTTGTCTGTTTTGAGAGTTTTGCATAGGACTATCTTGAATTAGAATTTTTTAATGTGTGGTCGACTGTTTTCAAGAACTCAAAATGTTAAATGTCAATACTCAAGATCACAACAAGAGACAGGACAAATGATTCTGCAAATTATATCTGTTTAGACTACCCTTTTTGTAAAACAACAACTTTCACTCCTATATTGTTGTTCCATTCAATGACAAAATTTTTCCATTGACAATGCTTGATCAATAAAATGTTCAATTAATAGAATTTTAGAATTTGATACAGTTTTTCATTTCACACTCTTTCAAAATAAAATAAATGTTTCTTCTTTCAAACTCCCAATTGTATAAATGGGATAAGCTTACTTCAATTCTTAAGGCTAAATAGCCATTTTCTAGGCTACTGTACAAACCATGTTGGCAACATAAGATTATAAACTGAGTTATATCACTGTTTCAAATGGCCATAATTGTTTCACAATATTAATACTGGGAAAAAGGTCTGATTACACCTTCTTTTTCTTGTCAAATATTTCATGCATATTCAGGATGAAAAAACAAAGTAAACGATTTATCAGTTTAGTCATGTTCTATAAGCACAGCGACAGGTGGGTTGAAAGGGACTGCGAAAAAAAAGAGTTAAATCTATGTTGGGTAGAGTCAGAAATTTTGCCGTGCAACAAAATATAAGACCTCAAGGAGTTTAATGTGCAATGTAATCTTATCAACTTACAGCAGTTACAGGATCTGAGTGAGCAGGCAGTGTCTTCAAGCATTTTCCTGTCTTTACATCCCATATCCTTACACTTTCATCGAACTGTAAACAAACAATTGACATTATTATGTACAGAAATTAAATTAATATTATTGTTAGTTTTTATAATGAAAACACATGAATTTGAAAGTGCAACTAGTATTTTATAACAAACAATTTTCATAAACAATCCAGCAATAAAAATTAACAAATCATTCAAACATAAATTATAATTTTGTTTTCTATACCAGAGATGTTAAAGATAGAAATTACTATCGAAGCACAGAACTACTCATGAAAAGTTGTTTCCTTACATTCTGTGTCAAATATTTCATGCATATTTAGGACGAAAAAACAAAGTAAAAGATTTATCAGTTTAGTCATGTTCTATAAGCACAGCAACAGGTGGGTTGAAAGGGACTGCGAAAAAAGAGTTAAATCTATGTCGGGTAGAGTTAGAAATTTTGCCTTGCAATAAAACATAAGATCTCAAGGAGTTTAATGTGCAAAGTGTATGGCACTAGATACGAATATAGAATACCGAGTTTAAGTTATGTACCCATCCTGATTGACCAAGACTGTATAAAATCATCCCCACACATTTGCTTACCATTATTATTTTCCTTTTCCCCTAAAATTCCATAGGATAGGTCTTTCTTTCTTGTTTGGTTGTTTGCTTAGTTCTTTTAACGTTTAACGTCTTATGACAAGACTCTTTTCTTTTCTAAACCTTACCATTCTCCCATCATAAAAGAATATGTTCATTCATTTTATACAATGATTATAATGACAATTGTCTTAGTGGTCTGAATGATGTTTTTTATATGACAGGTAATTCACAGTATCCTTTTTTGGTCGCTAAGTTAAATCAGCAATGGATAAAGAAACTATTCAAAAGGGAGTATGGTGAAATATGGTAAAATGGAAAAGGTACAACCTTAATTTTACTGATTTTAAAACAATTTGAAGAACAAGGAGTTCTGTAATACAAACCTTTACTCTTGCATGTTTCTTTCATATTCAGCATAAGCTATCACTGATTCTACTTTCCTTTAAAGTTGTCAGTATAAATTAACACTGATTTATTTAAGGATGTACACCTCTGAGGAGCCAAAAATTTCTAGAATTAAACTTTTTTTCTTAACCTGATTTTTGGGTTTATACGACTGTAAAAAAATAATTGGTGAAGAAAAAATCATATGGTGGTGCAATTCTTTTTTTGCTACGCCATTTGAAAGTACCCAATTTTGATGATTTTCCCATTTTTCATCAATTTTTACCCATTTTTGGGCTATTATCATGAAAAAAATCAGTTTCACATTTAAACTTTTTTTCATACTTTCAATACAGATGAAGTGGACAAATCTGAATAAACTTAACTTAAAAAAACTATAGGTTGGTGTTAATATTAGAAAGTTTTATAACATTTTGTTGCTTTTTCGTGTCAAATTTACCATGCTGTCTATTTTGTAAAATTGTGATTTTTCTCTTTTTTTAGAACAAAAAGCATATTATTTCAACTTCTTTGTTATAAATGATTGAAAAAATAAATATATAAGAAATTTGAAAAGAAAAAATTGATATGGGATGTACAGGTTTCTGGTAAAATCATTTCTTGTACCCCTCACCCATTTTCTCAACATTTTGGCTAATGAGACTGACTTGATTGGTTATAAAATTTGAAAATGTTATTACTCAAAAACTAATTATTGTTAATACAAAATTTTTTCACAGAGTTAAGTTTGATTATAATATTTTTTAAATTCATTGATATTTTCCACTTGTATCACGTTTTCGAAATTATTCCAGAACGAGATTTCAACGAGACTGAAACGTCAGAAGAATACATCCTTACAGCTCTTCTATAAAAGCATGCAAAGCAAACCTTTGATCAACTTGTTTCATATGTTTGCTTGGATGTTTGCAAACAATAGGTAGGCGGAGTTTCAGTCTGTTTTATGTATACTGGGATTTGATTGGACAATAAAAATTGACATGCAATGAAGTTAATGTTTATTGTCAAATCAAATTCCATTATATATTAACAGACTGAAACAGACTACCTACCTTTTGTTTACAAACATCCAAACAAACATAGCAAGCAAGTTGATCAAAGGTTTGCTTTGCATGCTTTTATAGAAGAGCTGTAAAACCTTGGGAGTTTTGAACATTTCTTATTCTCTTTTTCTTAAATGGTGAGTAACAGAACACAAGTTGAATATGATTTTGATTTGTTTATAAAAATAACTTGTAATAAATTCTTTATTTTACTGGTATATACTATAGCTTCTGGTAAAGCATTAATGCAGGGAGAAAATATGTTCCATATAAAATTTGTCGTATTGTTTAATCAGATGAGTCAATATCCCTAATGTGCCTCAAAGTGAGGAACACAAAAGTAGTGTGTTAACAAAAAATATCTGTGCAGTGATATTGGACATGTTTCAATTTTTAACAAGTGACTGAGCTTAACCATTTGTGCTGATTTGGAGAGCAGCCACATCACAAAAGGCTTTTCGGGGCGTGCTAAATTGTGGAAAAATTAATCTCACTTCCTACCCGAAAATTTAACGAATTGAGGAAAAGCTACCATTACCGCCTACCTGGAATGAATTGTGCATATGTACCCAGGTAAAGATCTTCTATCTTTTATGAAATGGGCTTTGTCTTTCATCCCATTTTAAAACCAGATAAGTAAATTGTCCAATTGAAGAGCATCCAAAGGCAAATAAACCATGTGATGAATTTTTGTTGCTTCATCAAACCAAAATCTATATAACAAATAATGATGGATTACAAATCATTTTTACTTACCGAACCAGATACAATAAGATTTGACTGTGGATTAAAATTGCAACAAAATACATAATTACTGTGCCCTTTCAGTGTCTTCATACATTTCCCCTACAAAATACAATAAAAGTTATCATCTTTTGTTGTATTCAATACAGTTAATAGTATCTACTAGTTTGAGCAGGAAATTCAATGTAAAATAAGTTAGAGATAAAATAACTTATAATAATAATAGTTTCTCCCTTTAACACTTATGTTAACCTTTCACATTAATGTTCTCCACCATGATTAAGCAAACAGTGGTATTCTATCTACAGCTTCAGTAAGCAACATTGTAATAATGAAAGAACCTTAGTGAGCGCGCTCACATACCCCACGTCCCCACATTGTCATTGGAGAAATAAAATAAGTGTAAGAAAAAAAAATTGTATCAGAAAAAAAAATTGAATCATAATTTCCTGTCAATATGCACATCTACAAAGTATGTCCTTATTATCTACACAGTTTCGTGAAATTCTGTTGTGTGGTTTGAGAGGAGTTGCGATGACAAAAGGTTGCAGTAGTATATTGGGCAAATAAGTTCAAAGGGGCGTAACTCCTGGAAAAAAAATTGAATCGTAATTTCCTGTCGATATGCACATCTACATAGTATGTCCTTATTATCTACAAAGTTTCATGAAATTCTGTTGTGTGGTTTGAGAGGAGTTGCGATGACAAACTGTTGCAGTAGTACATTAAAGTAAATAAGTTCAAAGGGGTGTAACTCCTAGAAAAAGAATTGAATCGTAATTTCCTGTCGATATGCACAACTACATAGTATGTCCTTATTATCTAAAAAGGTTTCGTGAAATTCTGTCGTGTGGTTTGAGAGGAGTTGCGATGACAAGAAACAGGACTGACGGACTGACGGACGGACAGACAGACAGACAGACAGACAGACGGACGGACGGACGGACGGACGGGTCAAAAACATTATACCCTCCCCAACTCGTTGCATGGGGCATAACAAGTGAAACTGCGAGCTACTGCTCACTGATGATACCCCCATCCCAAATACTTGACGGTAAACAGGAAGTTGTTGAGTGATGAATCTGAAAACGCATCACACGGTATAGCTGACTTATATAAACACTAAAACCAAATTTCAGAAATCCTTGTAATGTAGTTCCTGAGAAAAATGTGACGAAAATTTTCAACTTGGATGTCATGTGTTAAATGATATAAGTGTTCGGTAAACAGGAAGTTGTTAAGTAATGAATCTGAAAACGCATCACACTGTATAGCTGACTCATATAACCCCTGAAACCAAATTTCAGAAATCCTTGCAATGTAGTTCCTGAGAAAGATGCGACGAAAAATATTCATGGGATGGCAGGGCTCACACTACTTCAGAATCATAGGGAGAAGTGACTTCTCTTTTTGAAACTGATAGGGAGAAGTGGTGAGATTTGAAAGAGAAGTGCTCCTTCGCGCACTTCGCTACAATGTTTTGGTTTTACTATAGTATAAAGGGTCATATGTAAATAATGTTCTTTTTATATTGTTCAATTCATATCTGAGTATACAATTAAAGTAACAGTTCAAATTCAAGGTTGTTTAAGTTTAGGTTCTTGTGAGAAACTTCCAACTAAATATCTAGCACTAAAAGGAATTTTTTTTTATGTAAAAAAGGTAAAGAAATTATAATATATCAATTACAATTTAATTAAAAACTATCTTGTTTATGAAATTCAGTGTTTCTCATCAAAAGATATATAAATTTAAGCTGGGCTTTAATATATTGATATTAGTATAATAGTCTCAGAGTTAAGCAACTTCAATCAATATTTTGAAACAATCCATATAAATTATATGGAATTATATACATTAATCAATTAGATGTCACCAAAAGTCTGTAAATGCGTGTGGAATGCGTAATTTTTCCTTTTGACAATATTCTTCTGTCAGCTGTTCCATCCATGCGTCCGTAGTTATTATGTATGTATGTATGTATGTAGATCCCTCCATTAATGGAGCACCCCTCCAGAGCTGCGAGGGTACAGTGGAATCTGTGTACACTCCCTATCGGGATTAATGGAGATGTGTCACTAACGTATTTACAATGTTCAATATTTACAAGGACAATCCCCACCCCAACACCAGGGAGTGTTAGGACACCGGGCTGATCTGTTATTATGGTGGAGGAAGCCGAAGTACTCGGAGAGAACCACTGGGCTGCTCGGCGGGAACAGACAAACCGAAGAGATATCAGCAGATTGATCTCCAGGTCAAAGTCGGGAGCAACTTTGACCAACCGAGGCCCACATAGTACCCATTCTAGTTTAAACTCCGGTCTGGGTACCAGAGATGTGTGTGAGAGGGTGAAAATCACCCTTCTGATGTACTGATATTTTTAGCACCCCAAGTGAGAATCGAACTCGGGACCTTCAGCACTGTAGCCATCGGTCTTAACCACTAGACCACGAACTCACATGAAAAAATTATACATAAAATATTATTGTAAAAATACGGATTTCGGTCATAGCTGGTCCGATCCGTAGTTAGAAAACAGTCAATGACAGACAAATGGAAGAATATTTACAAAAATAAATGATGCTTGACAAGCTATTTGGAAAGGAATATGACGTTTTTAATGCAATAAATGGATTAAAAATTTACTGGAGGCATTTTTTATCATGTTTAAATGAAGTAACAAACTTATTTTGCCGCCGAAAGTTAGATTGATGTACGTTCTCAAGTACTGACAAGTACCGGAAGTGCACGAAGTGATATAAAGTTGCCTTTTTATCAAATAACCTGCTTCACACTGTAAAGACAATGCTTCAACCTCTTTTCTTAAGAAAATGGATCGTTTATGTCTGAATTTCTTTAATTATCTATAAAAAAATTGATGTTTCATCAACTTGATAAAAATTGAAAATGTCAGATGACGAAAGCGACTGAAAGCGAGTATCGTAAACAACAGGGCGACTTGTTTTCGCTTTTGAGGGTCGGGCAAAGCGAAGTGACGGACGGGAAAGTGACATCTTCGCCCTAGTCGCCTGGTAGCGTGAGCCCTGGGGATGGATAGACGGACTGACAGACAGAGGTAAAACAGTATACCCCCTCCCCCCCCCTTTTTAAAGTGGGGAATAATGATTGTTTTTTTTTCAGTCATACTGGTGCAATGTGGTATTTCAATCTTCACAATGTTATTGATATAATTATTCAAGTTATTGTTAACTAAATTGTTTACAATAATATAGAACAACAAGATACAGGAGAGGAATTTCTAAAAGTGATTATCCTTATAAAACTGTCATTTCGTAGTGTTTATGCTATTATTTTCACAATAAAATATTATTTACACTAAGATTTGACAGAGGATTAAAATACAAAATACAAAATTATTGTGTGAATTCAGTGTCTTCATACACTCAGTTAGGAAAATGCAGTTTTAAAGACTTTAATGTAAAAAAATATAATTTTGAGGTATTTCTAAAAGCTTTTATGGTGAAAAAAAAACCCAGTCCTTTGATCTTTTACATTAAAACAAATTTATAACAGCAAAGAAATAGAAGGGTGTAAATCTAACTTGAAAGTGTTTGTACAAGTACTAGACAAAGACATTGCTTTATAGCTAATATTCTAGTCAACTCACAGTAGCAAAATCCCAAATTTTTAATGTTTTATCATCAGATGCACTAACAAGTATTCTGCTATCGTTCGACCAAGCAACATCTGAAATACCCTATAAATAAAATAAATTATCAAGCTCAATTCAATTGCAATTTTTTTAAACATAAGTGAATTCAATGTTACACACTGAAATGGGTAATGCGTTAATATTATGATAATCACACCACATTATGTGTCTGTACCAAGAAAGACTATCTTGACCATGTGTTATTCCTTTTTTTGGTTATGTTTGTCCATTTTTTCAAAGAAGTTGGTTGTTGGTGGTCAGATGTACTACTATTTTTGGGTAATTCCTGTTATCCTTTTCATGTATTACATATGCATAAAAAAAAATAACAATCAAAGACAAATTAAGTTATGTATCAGTTTAATTAAAAACATATTTGCGCTATAAGTTAACCTTTATGTTTGCAGAAACTACCACAGTACTCTGTCTGGAGCCAAAAAAAAACATTTTTTTTTTATACAGATCTATTTCAAGAGAATTTTATTGACATTATTACTCAGGGTTCTTACTAAGGATTTTTGAAGGTGAGTCCATAGACTCATCATTTTTGGCCATGGCAAGTCCAAAAATGAGGAGAATAGATTGTATTGCTATATAATTTATTCTTTCAGTCTCCATGACAAAATAGAGCAAGGAAATGACATCAAATTTAGATTATTTGTAAAAATTTTGCTATAGAATGATGATATGTGCTAAGCTGACTCGCATATTTTACAATCTTGATGGATATTTAGACTCATAATATTTTACAATGTGATGGATCTTTGGACTCACAAGTCCTAATAAACAGCTGCGCCATGAGCGCATGATACACTAGTCGTCTTGTGTGTGACTTTTTATGCAATAAGCATAAATAGTTTCTGACATACGGCGTGACATGCGAAAACCCCCCTTTTTTTTTTACAAAAAACTCAATATCTCTTAAATAAAATTTTGAATCAAAACCAAAAAGTATACAGATCTTTAGATTAATATAACTAAGAAGTGTGTAAAATTTTAAGCAATAATCATAAATCGTTTTTGAGATACGGCGCGACATGTGAAAAACCCCTCCTCCTTTTTTTACAAAATACTCAATAACTCAAAAATAAAATTTTGAATCATCACCAAAAAGTATACAGATCTTAAGGTTAATATAACTAAGAAGTGTCTAAAGTTTTAAGCAATAATCATAAACTGTTTTTGAGATACGGCGCGACATGTGAAAAACCCCTCCCCCTTTTTTAACAAAATACTCAATATCTCTAAAATAAAATTTTGAATCATCACCAAAAAGTATACAGATCTTAAGATTAATATAACTAAGAAGTGTGTAAAGTTTTAAGCAATAATCATAAATTGTTTTTGAGATACGGAGCGACATGTGAAAAAAAAAAACACACACCTGTTTTAGTTACTAAGTCCCGTAACTCAAAAAGTTATAATCTTATTTTCACCAAAAAGTATACAGATGGTTTGACCATCATAAGAAACAACTATGTTAAGTTTCATGAAATTTGGATAAGTCTTTCTCAAGTTACGGTGCGACATGTTTACGCCGGACAGACAGACGCTGGACATTTGTATACCATAATACGTCCCGTCAAAAATTTGACGGTGTATAAAAATTATGAGTCCATGACTTATGGACTCTCCTCAGTGAGAATTCTGGTTACTTTTGAAAAAATAATTCATATTACTTACTAGTTTATGGCCACTAATAGTCTTTTCAAATTTTCCATCATAAGCTCCCCATATCTTTATAAGTTTGTCAGCAGCTAAAGTAATAGAAAATATCTTCCAATTAAAATAAAAAGTTATCTTCCGTTTCCATACACTAAAAATAGAATATTGCTTAATATATATATGTTATAACCAATTCATTAGATATCTGTCATGCCTTTCTTACAGAAAATTAAAAACAGTGCTACTACATTGCAGATATTGGTTCAATCACTTTGAAAGGTAATCAATATTAATAAAATGCTTCGCTGAGCGCAGCCTGATACAATCGCAGAGGTCGAACCCTGAACAGTTGGTACAAATTTGGACACAATATTCAAGCTTGATACTGTCTGAATTTGGATTGTGATCAAATTTTTGACATAATATAGATTTCTGACACAAAATAAATGTGGTCAAAGATCTAAAAATCTATTGCGCAATATTGTGCAATTGAAGATTTCTTCTTGAAACTTTTCAAAAATTTCAATGTCAATGAAAAAAAAAATGAATCCTCTAAAAAAATTGGAGAAAAAAAATCCCCCCCCCCCACTTTTTGAAACCCCCCTTGGAGCAATAACCCCAAAACTCGATCCCAGCCTTTCCTATGTAGTATGGAACCTTGTAGTACAATTTCAGAGAGATCCATACACTTACACACAAGTTATTGTCTGGAAACTAGAAAAATGCTTGTTTTTGGCCCCTAATTCCTACATATTTGGGCAATTAACCCCAAACTCAATCCTAGCCTTCCCTTTGTGATATGGAACCTTGTGGTACAATGTCAAAGAAATCCATACACTTACACACAAGTTATTGTCTGGAAACTAGAATAAAATGCTCTGCAGGGCGCAGCTTGATACGACCGCAGAGGTCGAACCCTGAACAGTTGGGGCAAGTATGGACACAATATTCAAGCTTGATACAGCTCTGAATTTGGATTGTGATTAAATATTTGACACAGCATAGGTTTCTGACACAGAATGAATGTGGTCTAAGAACTTAAAAATTTTAAATTGGACATTCACCTATTATGGTCCAATATCCAAAATCTAAATACATGGTTAGATTCAGCATATCAAAGAACCCCAAGAATTCAATTTTTGATGAAATCAAACAAAGTTTAATTTTGGACCCTTATGACCTCAATGTGGACAAAGTTGATAACAGGGACCAAAAATCAAAAATCTAAATGCATGGTTAGATTCAGCATATCAAAGAACCCCATATATTCAATTTTTGTTGAAATCAAACAAAGTTTAATTTTGGACCCCGATTTGGACCAACTTGAAAACTGGGCCCATAATCAAAAATCTAAATACATGTTTAGATTCAGCATATCAAAGAACCCTAAAAATTAAATTTTTGTTAAAATCAAACTAAGTTTAATTTTGGACCCTTTGGACCTTAATGTAGACCAATTTGAAAACGGAACCAAAAAATTAAGAATCTAAATACACGGTTAGATTCGGCATATCAAAGAACCCCAATAATTCAATTTTTGATGAAATCAAACAAAGTTAAATTTTGGACCCTTTGGACCTCAATGTGGACCAATTTAAAAACGGGGCCCAAAATCCAAAAACTTAATACACGATTAGATTCAGCATATTAAAGAACCCCAAGAATTCAAGAATAAAACCCCATTGAAATTGATCAAGAAATAAGCAATTTATACGAAGTATCTTCTTTTGCACAATACTGTGCAATTGAATATTTCTTGCTATTGCGCAATACTGTACAATTGACAATTTCTTGCTATTGCGCAATATTGTGCTATTGGATATTTCTTGCTATTGCGCAATACTGTGCAATTGAAGATTTCTTGCTATTGTGCAATACTGTGCAATTGAAAATTTCTTGCTATTGCACAATACTTATTATATAATAATTAACACAGCCTGTATGGTGTGTATCTCCTACCATATCATTATTATTTGCTTTTAAATATTAATCAGAAATAACCAACTTAAAATGGAAAATTTTAAAAGAAAAAAAAAAAGGAAAAAAAGAAAAAAAAAAGAAAAAAAAAAAATCCCCCCCCCCCAAATTTTTTGAACCCCCTTATGATTCATCACCCCCAAACTCAATCCCAGCCTTCCCTTTGTGGTATGGTACCTTGCAGTACAATTTCAGAGAGATCCATACACTTGAACACAAGTTATTGTCTGGAAACTAGAAAAATGCTTATTTTTGGCCCCTTTTTGGCCCCCAATTCCTAAACGTTTAGGGCAATTACCCCCAAACTCAATTCCAGCTTTCCCTTTGTGATATGGAACCTTGTAGTTCAATTTCAGAAATATCCAAACACTTACACACAAGTTATTGTCATGAAACTAGAAAAATGCTTGTTTTTTGCCCCTTTTTTGGCCCCTAATTCCTAAAATTTTGAGGCAATTACCCCCAAAATCAATTACAGCCTTCCCTTTGTGATAAGGAACCTTGTGGTACAATGTCAGAGAGATCCATACACTTACACACAAGTTATTGTCTGGAAGATACAAAAATGCTTATTGTTGGCCCCTTTTTGGCCCCTAATTCCTTAACTGTTGGTACCATAACCCCCAAAATCAATCCCAACCTTCCTTTCGTGGTATTGAACCTTATGGTAAAATTTAATGGAGATCCATTCACTTAAACTAAAGTTAGAGTGCGAAAACCAATGTGTCTTCGGACGACGACGACGCCAACGTCATACCAATATACGACCAAAAAATTTTTAATTTTTGCGGTTGTATAAAAATGCTTCTTTTTGGCCCTCAATTCCTAAAATGTTGGCCCCATAACCCCTAAAATAAATCCCAACCTTCTACTTGTAGTATTAAACATTGTCGTAAAATTTCAGAGCAATCGAAATACTTATACACAAGTTATTATCCTGAAACTAGAAAAATGCTTGTTTTGGGCCCCTAATTCCTAAACGGTTGGGACCATCATCCCCAAAATCAATCGCAACCTTCCTTTTTTGGCATTGAACCTTCTTAATAAATTTCATAGATATCCATTCACTTAAACTAAAGTTATTGTCCGGAAACCAATGTGTCTTCGAACGACGACGCAGACGACATCATACCATTATACGATCCCAAAAAATTTTTTGCAGCCGTATAAAAATGTTTGCTTAAACACATATTCAATTAATTTCAATTAAACAAGTTGAACTGTAAGCTTTTGCTCAGTTGATACCCTGCTATAAGTATTCAGTAAGCAAGAGGTTGATGAGGTATGGATGAGAAAATGCATCACACAGTATAACATGCTCACATGAAGCTGGATAAACTAATTTCAATATCTTCAATAGTTCTAAAAGGAAAATGTGAAACAAATTTCATACATGGCCACTGTGTAAGAATATATAAGTATTCAGTAAACAGGATGTTGAAGGGCAAAGAATGTGAAAATGCATCACACAGTATAGCATGGCCACATGAAGCTACATTCCTAATTTCAAAAAGCTTTGGTATGTAGTTCCTGAAAAAATGTGACAAACATTTCATGGCAATGAAAGACAAACAGAGTTAAACCAGTATTCCCGCTCCACCTCCTTCTGACCAGAGATATAATTACATTGGTTATTCATGATAAATAGAGACCATGCAAGTTTATAAAAATTCTTTCACTTAAAAGTGATCTTTCTTAAAATTAACAACCATGACAAAGATTCACAAAATGGTATGAACAAAGAACAGACGATACATACAGGAACTGGCTAGCCATTCTCCACTTGGACTGAATTTTACAGATGAGACTGCTTTTGTATGGCCTGCCATGGTAAATTTTAATGTGTAATTAGGTTTCTGTAAATAGAAAAATACAAATTACTGATTGATAATCTAGTCTGGGAAAACATGGTTTATCTACTTACATCACCATCATTTGAACTTTGGTGGAGAGTTTGGTTGACTTGCTTGCTTTGTTTGTATAAATGTTTGTTCAAGCATTGTAATTAAGATTGACATCTGCAATCTATAGATAGACGGGACTTCAGCTTGTATACATTATACTTATAAATGTTATTGGATGTTAAGCAATGTATACAAGTTGAAGACCCGCCTATCTATCGATTGCAGATGTCAATCTTAATTACAATGCTTGAACAATCAAATGGTAGCTCCCTAACTTATAATATAGGGTTTGAAAAATGTAAAAATATATGGGGTCTCATTCAATGTGATTTCTAATAATAACTTTTAAAATACTCAATCAACTGAAAAAATGTTATTAACCAAATATAAAATTTTGTTATTTTTTGCCTTTGTTGATCTGTTGATTTTTTATCTTTTAACATCAAAAGTAATTATACAACCTTCTTCTAACAAGAGTGAGGGTTAAGCAGCAAACATTTTTTTCTTTCATCAACCTACCAAAGACTGTGATGATGGTGTTTTGGGTGTTGTGACTGATGATGTCAATGTACTTGATGGAGTAGATGATACAGGATTTGAAGTTGTACATGGTGGTTTTACATCTCCTGGTGTCTGGGGAGTCTTATTTTCTTCTGTAGACATCTGAAATAAAAAAAAAAGGAATATTAATACTGTAGCTGCCAGAGATGTAGATTACAACCAAAGTATACCTGGACCCGGCTGTTCATCACTTGGTTAAATTTTAAATTTAAACCAAGGGTTAAATATCATAACCCTTGGTTAAAATTTAACCCTAGGTTATTTTTTGTTGCTCATCCTGTGGTTGAATTAAACCCTTTGTTAAATCCTCTGTTAAATGATTCAGATTTAACCTTGCTTCAGACTTCAGTTAAAATTTAAATCAAGGAATAGTTTCGTCCAAAAGTATGATTCCTTGTTTATAACTAGACTGGAAAGGTCACTAAATGTTTGATACAACACACTTTTTGTTTTCAAAGGTCATTAGTAGCGAAAAACTGATTTTTACGGTATACAGTCCTTCCTCCATTTTGCATCGAGGTTTACGTCCATAGGGTCTACCTAACAGACATTTTAAACAAATCAACATTTGTTTTTACCCTGTTATCTTCAATGTCAATAAACAAATTGATGCAGCAAAATTAAACATATTTTAGTTATATTATGTATTTACCTATAATCAATAATAATTCTACGATCAATGCTTCTTTTCAAACAAAAGGTTTCCGGTCATGTCCACATTGTTGTTGTACTATTTAATGAACTTGGACGCTGAAAAGCGTATTGTTTTTAATAAGTTATCATATTTATTGACCAAACAGGTTTCCTTGGAAGGGAGAAAATTCTTTATTTTGATAAAAATGAACGTTCACTTAAAAATTTAACCATGGGTTACCTAACCAGGGGTTAATAAAGTTGAACAACAGAATTTTAACCCTTGGTTACGTAACCCTCAATTAAATAAATGGGGAGTGTTTCAGATAATGCCCCAGATTACATATAACGTTATAAAGGGACATAACTCAAGAACAGTAAAAGTGATGCTTCCCAAATGTGTACATGATCTGAGTTTTGTGGTAATAAGCATTGTGTATAAGATTCATAACATATAATTGAGGCAAACTTAAGTTAGAGAACGGAAACTAAAAATTCAGCAATTTTTCCATTTGTAAAGGGGGACAACTCTAGAAAGGTAAAATTGACGCCTCCAAAATTCATACTTGATCTGTGTTTTGTGGTAATCAGCATTGTGCATAAGTTTCATAATGTTTGGTTGAGGCAAACTAAAGTTGGAGAACGGAAACGAAAAAATTCAAAAAAATTTCCATTTGTGGAGGGCATTACTTCAGGCAGTAAAAGTGACGCCACCAACATTCAAACTTGATCGGTGTTTTGTGGTAACTAGACATCATTGAGATGGGTGCCATCCATGTGGGCCCCACTGTAAATAGCAGATTACTATTTGACTATTAAAGATGTTAGTGGTTGAATCTCTTAGAGCAGGTAACATGTGCTATTAAACAGTACACCAGATGCACTTTACCCTTAATTTTAGAAATATAATATAAAAGAAAAAAAAAAACTTCTTGAAATAGACACAGGTTATTTCGCATTACTTGTCAAGCCAGAATTATGCCATTTAAATTGTTGGAACTTTGTTCTGTATCTGTATTCACTAGATTAAATAATTCTTGTGTTTACCTATAAAACAGTCCATTTATAAAGTACAGTAAATATTTCTATCATGTGGAAATCTATAAGTCAGTAGTCCTAGGCATGACAAAAATACATCAGATTGAATTATTTGATTGGTTTAAATTTGTTGTGTTGCCAATCTCCCCATCTTGGTTTATTTTATCTTTCAGAGTCATAACACAACATGTATTGGTGGAGTACCATAGGAACTCGCCTATTAGTCGAAAAATTGGGAGTAAAATTCTTATTTCAGAGAGAGGTACCGACTTATAGACGACAGCGACCAGAGGAAAAATCCAAGCTCGAGAAAAGTGGTCAGGAGTGAATTTCCTGGTCAAAACTACGTTGGTGACTGCCAAACCTACATAAATCCCTAAATAAAAAGTTTTTGTAGAAAATAAATGACTACAATACTGTCTTTGTAAACTTTTTTCTGTCAATTCGTGTTGAATTTCCGACTGTTTCCAGTTTGTGTATTGATTTTCATGGTCAAATGGTTTGTGCATAAACCCAAAAGAAAGAGCCAAGAACCAAAAATGAAAACGAGATAACAATGTAACAACTATGTAAAAGGATGTTTTCAGCGGAGTAATTGTGTCATTATTGTGATATCATGATATCAATTCAATACTTATAAATCATACAATAATCAAAAATAATTTTAAGATTCAATCCCAAGATCAAAATATTATTCATTATTAAAATGTCTCAGGTAAACACAAAAATTACAAAATTGATTGACAAGCCAATATAATCCATTGATAACCCCTAATTAAGAGGCAAAAGGTTGTATTCACTAAAGGTGTGAAAAATATCAGTGATATGTGAACAGATGACACTAATGAGTTGGGGTTATTTTAATATAAAGTTGATTAGCTTCACTTAATTTTTTTAATCCTTTAATCATCACAATATAATAAGAATTATGAAGTGAACATGCTCTTTTAACACTGAGTAATGTGTGCTGTGAAAAATATTTATTGACTTTTAATTTGTTCAGGTTCATATTGGTTTATGTTCGCTTTTCTCGAGCAATAGGTTGTAAGTCATACCCTACAAAATCATTGATGCATTACGTAAACAACACATGGCTAATCAAACAGTGAACAAAACAACAGGAATGAATACATCTTTATTATTAACAGCAATATAAATTATCATAATCAACATCAACTAAATTCAAACCAAACAAACATTCATGCAGAAAATGAATATAATTCCTGGATTTGCTATGGTTTTACCGTCGTTCAGTAACTGTCAGCTGCAAAAATAAAATGCTTCGCTGGGGCGCAGCTTGATACGACCGCAGAGGTCGAACCCTGAACAGTTGGGGCAAGTATGGACACAAAATTCAAGCTTGATACAGCTATGACTTTGGATTGTCATTAAATATTTGACACAGCATAGGTTTCTGACACAGGATGAATGTGGTGTAAGAACTGGAAAAAATTTAATTTACCTATTATGGTGGAATATCCATAAACATAATTGTTTGTTAATTTCAATATATCAAAGAATATGTAGAATTCAATGTTTGATGTAATGTAATAAAGTTGAAATTTGGACCGTTTTTGTTCAATGTGGACCAATTTGGTAACATGTATAAATAATCAAAAATCTAAATACATGGGAGCCCATTTAAATACATCATAAAGGTATTAAAATAGAAAGTGACATCATAGTCATGGCTAAAAATAAACAAAAATCCTTAATCAGCAACATTTAAAGTAATATCTAAAAATAAAATTCCTTTGTAACCATAAAAGCCCATTTAAATACATCATAAAGATATTAAAATAGAAAATGACATCATAGTCATGGCTAAACATAGCAAAAAACCCTTAATCAGCATCATTTTACAGTAATATCTAATAAAATGCTCCGCAGGGCGCAGCTTGATACGACCGCAGAGGTCGAACCCTGAACAGTTGGGGGAAGTATGGACACAACATTCAAGCTTGATACAGCTTTGGATTTAGATTGTGATTAAATATTTGACACAGCATAGGTTTCTAACACAGATTGAATGTGGTCTAAGAACTTAAAAATTTTAAATTGGACATTCACCTATTATGGTCCAATATCCAAAATCTAAATACATGGTTAGATTCAGCATATCAAAGAACCCCAAGAATTCAATTTTTGATGAAATCAAACAAAGTTTAATTTTGGACCCTTTTGACCTCAATGTGGACAAAGTTGATAACGGGGCCCAAAAATCAAAAATCTAAATACATGGTTAGATTCAGCATATCAAAGAACCCCATATATTCAATTTTTGTTGAAATCAAACAAAGTTTAATTTTGGACCCCGATTTGGACCAACTTGAAAACTGGGCCCATAATCAAAAATCTAAATACATGTTTAGATTCAGCATATCAAAGAACCCTAAGATTTCAATTTTTGTTAAAATCAAACAAAGTTTAATTTTGGACCCTTTACACTTTAATGTAGACCAATTTGAAAACGGAACCAAAAATTAAGAATCTAAATACACGGTTAGATTCGGCATATCAAAGAACCCCAATAATTCAATTTTTGATGAAATCAAACAAAGTTTAATTTTGGACCCTTTTGACCTCAATGTGGACAAAGTTGATAACGGGGCCCAAAAATCAAAAATCTAAATACATGGTTAGATTCAGCATATCAAAGAACCCCATATATTCAATTTTTGTTGAAATCAAACAAAGTTTAATTTTGGACCCCGATTTGGACCAACTTGAAAACTGGGCCCATAATCAAAAATCTAAATACATGTTTAGATTCAGCATATCAAAGAACCCTAAGATTTCAATTTTTGTTAAAATCAAACTAAGTTTAATTTTGGACCCTTTACACTTTAATGTAGACCAATTTGAAAACGGAACCAAAAATTAAGAATCTAAATACACGGTTAGATTCGGCATATCAAAGAACCCCAATAATTCAATTTTTGATGAAATCAAACAAAGTTTAATTTTGGACCCTTTTGACCTCAATGTGGACAAAGTTGATAACGGGGCCCAAAAATCAAAAATCTAAATACATGGTTAGATTCAGCATATCAAAGAACCCCATATATTCAATTTTTGTTGAAATCAAACAAAGTTTAATTTTGGACCCCGATTTGGACCAACTTGAAAACTGGGCCCATAATCAAAAATCTAAATACATGTTTAGATTCAGCATATCAAAGAACCCTAAGAATTCAATTTTTGTTAAAATCAAACAAAGTTTAATTTTGGACCCTTTGGACCTTAATGTAGACCAATTTGAAAACGGAACCAAAATTTAAGAATCTAAATACACAGTTAGATTCGGCATATCAAAGAACCCCAATAATTCAATTTTTGATGAAATCAAACAAAGTTTAATTTTGGACCCTTTTGACCTCAATGTGGACCAATTTAAAAACGGGGCCCAAAATCCAAAAACTAAATACATG